CCTGTGGACTTCAACTCCCAGAATCCCCCAGCCAGCTGTGCTGGCTGGGGGATTCTGGGAGTTGAAGTCCACAGGACTTAAAGTCGCCAAGGTTGAGAAACACTGCACTAAGCGACGTTAACAGAAACACGGGTGCCCCTTTCACAGAGGGCACAATTCCTATTGCCAGATCACAGCATAAACTGGTTTAAAACGCGCCCAGAGGTGCCCCCTAACCCACCCCCAACTCTTTTCAGCCAGGAAGGTCCAAAGGTGAGAAAACTCGGATGCCTTTGGTCAAAAAAAGTGAGCAACACGCATGGACTTTGCACTACTAATCCGTAATAAGGTTGGCACATTGCTCCGATCCTTATTTTATTTTCCCCTAACCACTCCTTACATCATTAATCTTACACTGTGTCATCTGGGTCCAGTCTTTGTGTCATCATATTTAGCAGTGACATAATTTTTAATCTATTTTTATCTCGTCTTTACCTTTCAATTGCTTCTTAATTCAGCTCCTCCCCTATAATTCCGCGTTCTTTTCCAAATTATTCAATTCTCCGCTTCTTTTTTGGTCTATACTGATTTTCTACCCAGTGGTTAAAAACATCCCCATATCTTATAATGCCCCGATTCTTCCTTCTCTTTATTAACGCCAAACGTTAATCTGTTCATTTCTGCACATCGACGGTCGTTCTTAAGGTTGAACTCAGGGCCACAGGGTGGAAGGAGCAATCGTGGTTAGTTACCTAGATCGTGGCTTACACCCCATAAAAAGTCTTTAAGAAGAGGTTGGATATCCATTTGTCTGAAGTGGTGTAGGGTTTCCTGCCTAGGCAGGGGGTTGGACTAGCAGACCTCCAAGGTCCCTTCCAGCTCGGTTATTCTATTCCAGTGTTTCTCAACCTTGGTGACTTTAAGTCCTGTGGACTTCAACTCCCAGAATCCCCCAGCCAGCACAGCCTTATTGTTTTAAATGTGGTTTTATATCCTGTAAGCCGCCTTGAGCCGCAGTAGGCAGCAATATAAATGGAAGGAAGGAAGGAAGGAAGGAAGGAAGGAAGGAAGGAAGGAAGGAAGGAAGGAAGAGAAAGAAAGAAAGATTTAAAGCATCTAGAACAGTGTTTCTCAACCTTGGTGACTTTAAGTCCTGTGGACTTCAACTCCCAGAACCCCCCAGCCAGCACAGCCTTATTGTTTTAAATGTGGTTTTATATCCTGTAAGCCGCCTTGAGCCGCAGTAGGCAGCAATATAAATGGAAGGAAGGAAGGAAGGAAGGAAGGAAGGAAGGAAGGAAGGAAGGAAGGAAAAGAAAGAAAGAAAGATT